AATTTTTCTTCCTTTCCTTTTTTTTTTTTTTTTATTTTTTTTATCTCTTAATATCTCCACGAACCTTTAAATTTCCACGCTTCGAAATTTCAATTTACGAACCATATACAATTTTAATAAACATTCATTCATATTATAACACCATTTATCCATAGATCAAATTCACAACGTGTATTTACAAAGCGTAATTATAACCTAACCTTCAAACTCAATCTAAAACCTAACCTTTCACTCGACTTTCAAACTGAATTCTCTTTCACGTCGAGATGATACCGTTGATTCAAACGTTTCACCACAATCATCATCTCCTCCCTATATACGAAATCACATCGGAACGAATGTAAATAAAGCTTATCGAAAATTTTCTGAAATCGATCGAATCGAACCTGTTTCACAGTTCTAGCAACCTATGCCAATCCATAATATTTACACGGGGAGAAGAAGAGGCGGTTTTGTATTTTGACAGGGGCCGAGTTGGGAAACACTGGGCCCCTCGATTTCGACTTTCGACGATATTCGCGCGCACGTAGGTGGACAAAGGAGAAGGTGGGGGTCTCTTCTTCCCTCGGGGCGAAACAGAAACCGGAGCAAGCTCGAGAATCCTTGCGTAGAAGGATCTTTTTCCATAAAAGAGAAAAAGTATAGATCGATATATATTTTTACTCGAAAAGAGGAAAAGTTTGGGAAAAATTTTCAAAACTTTGAGCGTCCCTCGTTCTAACTCCAAACATATACAAAGCTTGTTTTGTGGCGAGACTTGGTTCAAGAAGATCGGGCCCTCGAAGGGGAACAGGAAAGAAAGAAGAACGAAATTAAAGCATGTATCGGCCGTTATCGAGGGGAACGCGGCACGAAATTCCTTTCACGACTTTCGAAAGCGTTAAGAAAGTCGGTGGAAGAAAGAGAACCTGTTTAATAAAGACGCGTTATTTTTCTTCGAACGCTCGTCGCCCGTTTGTATGGAAATTTTTTTCCTTCCCCCCCCCCCCCCCTCCCCATTTCTTTTTTCTCTTTTTCCAATTCGTGGGAAAACGCATCCTCTCGCGTAGCTCGCCATTTTTAAATCGCCGAGATCGAATCGATCGAACCGCGACCTTAACCGCGATACGGGGTCACGCGAGTGATGGGTTTAAGCCGGAACGGGTTTGTTTGTTTGAACTTTTCTCTCGTTCGAAATTCGATTTCGAAGTGCGATTGGTGAACGGTTGTGGAGGGAAACAGGCACGTAATCGGATCGAAAGAATTTGAATAAATTTGAATTAGGGATCAGATGTGGATTGGAAGTAAACGAATGATAATAATTTCTCGAAAATATTAAAAATAATAAATTTATCGTTTAATTGCACGTCTGTTTTACGGGTTCGTTCCAATCGTTCTATTCTCATACAAAGAAATATCAAAAACGATCGACATCTTGCACACTCTTGGCAATAAATCAACGTTGATTTCACGCATAATGTTACTTTCATTGCAACGAGTATCTTACTCATCTGCAATATTATTACTTTCTCGATACTTAACTCATTCACTGTATAACACTTTCTCGTATCCTTTCATAAATCCTGACAACCATCTTCATTTATATATATATATATATATATATAAAACAAGTTTAACGAATGAAAAAGCATCTTATCCATCCGACAAATTATTTTATCGTGAAATTTTATTGTTATTACGTAATAACGCCATTTTTATTTTATTTTATCGATATTATTATATATATATATATATATTTATTTTATTCTAGAAATCGAATAGACTTCGTTTCCTTTTTCCTTTTTTCTTTATTTTCCGCGTCGATAAATGTCGACTTTGTATTTCTCTTTATCGTTTATTCACCTTCACTCGACGAGACGACGCTCGTCTCATCGATGCGTGAAACTTTTCCTCGTCTCGTTTCTCCGAATAATAGATCGAATTCAATGTCAGAGAAGGAAAGATTACCGATTTCTGCCCATCCCGATATCGATTCTCGATATCGCGGATGAATTTTCGGAATTTCGGTTCTCCCAATCGTGTGATAGTGGCGTTGAAGAACTTTCACATTCTTGTGTAACAAGAAAACTTCCGACTCTCGAGGATTATCGCCCCGATTTCCGTTTCGATCGTTAAAGTTCTTTCGATCGATTCCTCATCCAAGATTTAATTTTTTATTATTACGTTTCTTAAAACTGTAAGATATATTTTAATTGAACATTTTCTTTCCTAAATATATATTTGTTTTGATTTCGAAGAATATACTTTAAACTTAATAAACTTCCTAGGGATATTGTACCTATTCTAGTAAAATTTTCTGCCAATACCATGTGTCGGTAATTCTTTAAGCTATATATATACGTAAGAAAGTAATGGATTAAAACAATTTTCCAAACACGGTTTTACACGGATTTCACCTTGTCCCAATGATCTGTAAGATCTATGGAGCCATCGATCAACGAGCAATTAAGAATCGAAGAGAAGCATTTTCATTCCCTTGTTTCTTTCCAACGCGGAAGTTCCCTCGCCGTTTCTTAATCCGGTCTCGAACGATTTCCTTTTCTACCTTTTCTATCGAGGAGCTTTTGAAAAAAAAAGAAAATTCCTTCGTAATTTATAAGCGTCGAGGAAATTACCATTTTAGGTTAGATAAGAGGTTTATTAGAAGTGGTTCGAGGAAAGTGTTTAATCGATTGCGTGGGATTTTTGAAATGGAAAGATTTTTATATAATTCTTTTCTTTCTTTCTCTCTTTTTTTTTTTTTTTTATGTAAAAGTAAAAGTTTCCACGAACGAAATTTATATAAATAAAAGATAATAACGTTTCGAACGCAGTTCTCCATTTCCTACTACGATGTTTTATTATTATCTTTCGCGCGTATTGTTATTAGAAAAAATATAGATCAAGCGTACATCAGATATATTACTAATTATTCCTTTATTTAATTCGATTCAAAAACTCGTTTTTCCAACCACTTGACTTGAATAATTCAAAATACGATTCAATGGATTAGTATAAATACAAATTTCTCCCACATTAAGGTGATATTCACTCACAACTTTCAGAGAGGCCACGTAGAAAGTAGACGACGAATCTTAAAGCAACATCTTACAGTAACGCGTCTCTTTCATTTCTTCGATAATTCTTATAAAACTTTCCTGCCCATCGATAAAACTCTTCAAACTTAACCCCAATTCAATAAAATAATGATAAAAGAAACTTTTCTCGAAAAAAAAAATTTTCACTTTTTCAAATACATCATCATAATCGAGAAATAAATCTCATT